GTGGGGACAGTCTCAGTGTGGGTGGGGGCTGAGGGTGGGGACAGTCTGTCAGTGTTCGTGGCCGTGGGCTGAGGAACAGAAAGGAACCAGCCTCCAGCTGCAACTCTCGCGAGGTTTTCCATCGCCTTGGAAACCAGACCAGGGGGACGCCATGGAAAAGCGGCAATCTGAGATCCTGGTGAGGGGCAAGCGGGGTCTAGGAGCAGTGGGTCTCGGCGTTGTGGAGAGTTCCCGGGGAAGGGAAGTCAGCGGGCCTGGGGAAGGCCGGCCAGAGCTGCCTTCGCTGTGTAAAGCCTTGTATCTTGTGCAGGGGTGTCACCCGCGGCCTGCTGCTGTTCATGGCCCGTCTTTGGCCCATTCTGGTAGAAATCATTGTTTTTAAATGATCGCTCACTCCATATCAATGCACCCTACAGTGGAGTGCACTTTATTAAAATAATAATATGCTGAAACAGATAGAAAGTTTACAGTGATCTGAAATATAAATAAATATATTTCTTGAATATGGAATACAAAAGAAGCAAATTTGATTTAAGGGCCAGATGTCACAAGTCTATACCATAATTTGTCATTATTAACAGAGTAAGCCTTACACTCTGATTTCTGATTGGCTTCTGGAACTAAAACAGAACTAGTTCTATGTGAAGAAGAACCTGCTACATATTGCAGCACTGTGGCTCAGTGGTTAGCACTGCTGCCTCACAGCGTCAGGAAACCAGGTTTGATTGCAGCCTGAGGAAGGGTCACTGCACCCAAAATGTTAATTCTGATTTTTACTTCACAGATGCTGCCAGACCTGCTGAGCTTTTCCAGCAACTTCTGTTTTTGTCCTTGATTCCTCCTTTGGGCGACTGGCTGCATGAAGTTTGCACATTCTCCCTGCGTCTGCGTGGGTTTCCACTGGGTGCTCCAGTTTCCTCTCACAGTCCAAAGATGTCTAGGCTAGGTGGATTGGCCAAGCTAAATTGCCCATATTGTTCAGGGATGTGTAGATTAGGTGGGTTGTAGGGGGATGGGTCTGGGTGGGTTGTTTGAGGTTTGATGTGGACTTGTTGGGCTGAAGGGCCTGTTTCCACACTGCAGGGATTCTATGATGATGATGATGATATATTTTTGCATTTATTCAAACTACTCTTTTGCTGTTCACATGACGAATAGTTCTGCTATATCTTTAAAATTTATTCCCTTACAATTAATTTGAATTGCTTTTAAATCTAGACAAAGAAAGCTATGTCTGGTAAATCTGCCTTCCATTCATCAGCTTCAATACGAAATGTGTCTGCAGGAGATTTGCTGGCTAAAGAAGAAGAATACAAGTATGAATAACATCTATATTAACCTATATATCACATTATAAGAAATAACAGACAACCATGTAGCCCATTTCTCTACCTTTCAATATGATCATGGTTGACCTTTGACTACAATTTCACTTTTCAGCCCCATTTTCCTTGATTCCCTAAAAGGCCAAAAAATCTGTCTCTCTCAGCTTTGAATACGTTCAACAGTAGAGCATCCACAGCTTTAATCCAGAATCTTGTATATTTCAATGAGATCACCTCTTAACCTTTTAAACTCCAGAGAGCATAAGTCCATTTTATTCAGCAGGAATTAATGCCATGAACATTTACTATCGTAAAGACTTCCTTAAATATGGAGACATAAACTTTGTGTAGTACTCCAGATGAGATCTCACCACAGCCCTGTACGTTTGTCACAAGACTTCTTTATTCTTAAAATAGATGGAGATGATGGCCTAATGGTATTATTGCTGAACTGATAATCCAAAGATCCAAGTAATGTTCTGAGGACCTGAGTTTGAATCCTTCCACGGCAGATGGTGGAATTTGAATCCAGTAGTAATCTAAATAAGAGTCTCATGATGACCATTTCGATTGTCAGAAAACCCATCTGTTTCTCTAATGCACTTTAGGGAAGGAAACTGCCATCCTTACCTGGTCTGGACTACATGTGGTTGACTCTTAACTGGCCTCTGGGCAATAAATTAGCCAACGTCGCTGACATCCTGTGAATGAATGAAAAAATGTTAATCCCTTGCAATAAAGACCAACATTGTGGTCTACAATATCACTGTGCATGTGTAATAAATGAATATATGTATACATATATATATAATATAGAGCTTAACTTAATTTCTAAAAAAAAACTTGTGTTTAATTAGGAGATTAAATGCAGAACTAGAAGCAAAGACAGCTGATCTGGTCCGCCAAGCTGAAGAAGTTATGGTAAGTTTAGTTACCAAGAAGGAGACTATTTTGAATTGTGCTGCTGTCATTATTGGACATATTCTTCCCCAATTTCTCCTATTCTGAGTTGGTGGGAGAAGACACAGCAGTTATATGGACATGACCTCAAATCAATAGCAAGCACGATGAACGATATGCAGACATTGCCAGTTTTTGAGCAAACCAGTGGATGGCACATCTGATTTGAAATTCTTCCTCTAAGAAATTCAAACACAAATTTACATTGAGATTAAAGCTCACATCTCTGGTTAAAGAAAGAAAATGACTTGCATTTTTAAACACCTTTATGTGCTTCACAGCCAAAGAAGTTCTTTTGAAATGTAGTCACTTAAAATGTAAAAGATGTAGCAGGTAATTTAAGTGCACAAACTCCCATAAAATGTATCATGTTAATGACCAAATAATCTGACCTTTACTTGAGGGATATAGATTGGTCTGGATACTGGGCATAACTTTCTTGGTCGTTAAGAATCTTTTAAATGTCAGTATTGCATACTGCTGCCCATTATGGAAAAATGAGAAAATAATGAATGCATATTTTCACAACTGGATTATAACATACCATCTAAATATGTCCAACTGTAGGACAGGTTTCAAAAGACGTGTTACTGCAAACCGCTGTTTTATTGATTAACAGAAAGTGAATTTGATCTGATTATTCCCTTTGCCGATTTTCACAGTTTTATTGGGTGGATGTCGAGATAAGACCAAGAGACTTGGCAGGAAGGTGATTAAATTTCTACCCTCACTATAGTTGGAGCGTTAAAGCTATGTAAAACTCTGAATCACACTTCCAATCTGCCACATGTGAACCTGTTGCCATTTGAAGAGGCAGGACAGTTCAGTATACTTAAATTAGGTGCCCCATTGAGGCTGGGATCCTGATTTTTATTTTGTGCTTGCTTGCTGTATTTCATCAGGCTCTAGATACTGATAGGTATTTTCTCCAGCACTATTGGTGGGCCATGAATAGCAGCAGTGTTCACCTGGTTCCCTTAAGCAAAACTTCTGTCATGACAGGCTGACTCTCCTTCCATTTCTCCTGTCCAATCCCCTTCTTCCCCATAAATATTGGTGCCTTGGTTTTAGGAAGTGAGAGCAAGTAATCACGTAAAGGGCTATAAATCCCCTATTGATTGACTTAGCAACAGGATTGGCAAAATATTGAGAGTTTTCCCTGAAGAAACTAATCAGATTTTTAATAGCAGTGTTATTTCAGCTGTGATTTTATTTTTGTATTACTGACCACTGCCCTTCCCTGTTTCTGGGAATCATAAAACCACAGCTGAAAACTGGAGGTTTTAAATGACGCTATTTCTGAATTTAATGACAGTTGCAAGTATCTGAATATCCTAATAATGGATACTGATACAAATGATATTAGAAAGCAAATTCGTTAATTCTTTGTCTTTATTGGAATTATACAGTATGTTTAAAACCTCCCTATTCAACAGCCCAATGTTGATAGATATATAAAAGACAAAATACTTTATATTTTTGTGATTTAATATAGTATTTCGAACAAAAATGTCCTTTCTATGTTTTCCTTCCACTTTTAAACAAAAAGTGTATTTTCACAGGACGCTTGTTTATTGAATTTGCTTTTCGTCTTTTTCTAACTTTTATAACATCCAAATTTAACTTCAGATCTTGTGGTCCTTTATTACTATCTTCATGTTTTGTTGCCTGTTAGATGATTAAAAAGATTGTTTGGTTATGTGTCTAGAAGGGACAAGAAGAAATGCTGTCTCAATCATCATCACATCTTGGCACAGTTGCTATGAATGATGAGAAAATGAGGTAAGATAATTATTCATTGAACAATGTTAAAGGATTATTTGTGCAGGAATAATGTACCTTAAATGTTTTCTTCATGTGAAGTTTTGTCATACCAAATGATAGTTTCAAGTTTGACATCCTGATCAAGGAATAGTCCAGCAAGCTAAAGTGCAAACATGCATAAATATCCATGAGCCTCAACCTCAACTATACTTAATCTCAACTAATTTATTATGATATTTTACTCCCATTTTTTTATACCAACAATTCTGTTTTATGAGTAAGGTGGGAAAATTATTCACTTTGGATCATTGTCCATTACATACGTTGCACATTACATAAGTAGACGAACAGGAGGCTGGAAGAACACAGCAAGCCAGGCAGCATCTGGAGGAAAGGAGCAATCAACATTTTGGGTATTACCCTTCTCCAGTCTTAATAAAAGGTAATACCCATAACACTGACTGCTTCTTTCCTCCAGATGCTGCCTGGCTTGCTGTGTTCTTCCAGCTTCCTATTTGTCTACCTTAGATTCTAGCATCTGCAGTTATTTTTGTCTCTAACTATGCACATTACATAGTCTAGATGCATTTCTGGAGGAGACAACAGACTTAGTTTTCCCATTTTGTGCTAATGTTTGTTGAGTGAAAGTCATGTGTCCATGCTGCCATTGTTTGATGCAGCTTTTCTGATGCAATCTTCTGCTGCTCGCCTTATGCGTCTGGACGATGATGCCCTTCTTGTGAAAGCACATGGCAGAAATGTTCGCTGATGGTATCTGTGTTCACACTGTGGTGCTATATTTAAAATCCAGTTGCACACAATTTCAAATGCTTCAAACCAGAAAGTGTCTGTCAGATTGGTGCTCAGCATTAGCACAGAGAGAATGGCCAACAAAGTAAGTTAGATCCCAGCTTCGCTGATAGGGATCTGGAGCCACTGGTGAACAGGGTAGTGGAGATGAAGGCAGTGCTTTTTTTCTGTAGGTTGCTAGAGGAGGCTTGACTACTAGGTACGGTCAGTTTGGACTGAGATGACAGCTGAAGTCAGTGCTGGGACTGAGGTTAAAAGGAACACACAATAGTGCGGGAAGAAGGTCAATGATCTGGTGTGCTCTACAAGTCCCAGCATTTTCTCCCTACTATCTCACTCACAGGATCTCCACTCACTCTAACTCTGCCATTGCAGACACATCTCACCAAGCCTCATAGACTATAAGTTTCACTATTCCATACACCATGTGCACCTAACTGCTCTGAGCTACCTTATTCTCCGAACTACCAACACTTCCTTCCCTCTGCACTTCCTATTCAATTACTGAGGGAACTACATCACTTTTGCTGATCCTGCATCACCACTCATTCATCTACTTCCATTTTACTCAATCTCTCCTTTGATTTATTAAGGGAAAACAAATGTTCTGCAACTGGAAAGAGAAGATGAAGATTAATTGGAAATGGCAGACATAAGTTCCTGAAGTCATATAATGAGAAAATGCTTGAGTTGTTCAGATGAGAGCACATCCACTCATGTGGGGTTAGGGAGACCTCAAGGGGCAATCAACCCAGTAGGCTTCATTGTACTGTGCTGCACAACTGTCCCTTACCCTTAACGCCAACTCATTCTTAACCATGTCAAACTTTGTCCTACTTACATAGCATATTCCCTCTCTTTTGCAGATAAAGACCCTAAACTTCAACTCTGATGATGAAGACACTCAACCCTCTGAGGAAATTCCAGCATCTTTCACTAACGTAGAGACTTTCACTTCTCTAGGTACTTTATCTAGATTAGACTTAGGAGCACAATCTGGTGAAGACATCACTGACATGCTTCTGCAGCTAGTCAAAGAAAAAATGTTCCAGCTCTGGAACTCAGACAACTGTAAAAGACCAGGCACCTGCTCAGCCCCAGGAAGAAAACTATCTCATAGTCTCAGCCATTACTATTTTCTCAAATGCACAGATAGGCACAGGAACAGCAGGCAGGTTTGTCAGAGGCAGTCAGTAAACTGCATCAAAGGACGGAAGCTTCCATTGATGTTACCAATCCTGTTATTGACTCCAGCATGCATGCATCTGTCTGTCTCCATGGTGACTACCATGAAGACCTAGGTCCAGAACACATTGTCTAGAGGATATACACATGACTGCACTCCATCACTCTAGCCATTGGTATCCAGCATCAATAGCTATGTGAGAAGGAGAATGAGGGATCTTGGTCTTACTCCAGGTGTTCCTTTTTCTCTGAGAGATTGAGTGAGGCCAGCAAGGGTCCATGCATACGACCCCAGAGGCTTCCTCTCGGAACTCCCATCCAAGTCTTCTCTTCTTGTGATCGCAAAGCTTGCAGAAGTTATAGCTGAGAATGGTGAGCCTACATCTGGGTATTCGACCCAAATGCCCCAGGGTTGAATGCCCAAGTCTTCTAGGCCAACAGCAATAAATACAGGGTAAGCTCTCTCTACATCAGCTGCAAAAGCCAGGATTGCACTTAGACAGATGAAGGAAGAGGTAAAGAAAAGCTTACAGAAGGCAAATGGGTGGTACATGTGACACACAATTGTAAACAATTTTGCACATTTGTAAATATATATGCAATGATCTTTGTTGCTGTCAGACCTGATTAAATCCATGTGAGAGATGAGCAGCCCTTTAGACGTTCCAAGATTGAAAGAAATTGTACATGCCAAGCATTGTTCGTCTCTGACAAGTGTTATGATCTCATCTGATGTCCTGATTGGACAGGTCAAATTTATCTGAGATCTGGCTTGATGGATCATTTTAAAAATTTTAACAATGTGGTCTTTCACTGGATCAAATACACAATGCTGCAGATTTGGGTTTAACAATATAACATGTTTATTATACAAAAGGAATTAAGGTAAAATAGAATAAATCAAACTATTTATAACACAAATTTAAAGGTTTTGAAACACATAGTAAAATGCAATCCCATTAATCAGAAGATTATAAAGAGATCTTGATCAATTAATTGGGTCAATGAGCTGAGGAGTGGCAGATGGATAATTCTTTGAAGTATGTGTCACATGTATGGGTGGTTAAGAAGACATTTGGCATGCTTGCCATCATTGCTCAGACCTTTGAATATAGGAAATTGCACGTCATGTTGAGGTTATACGGCATTGGTGAGGCTTCTTCTGCAGTACACTGTCCCGTTCTGGTTGCCTTGTAAAAGGAAGGATATGTTAAGGCAGAGAGAGTTCAGAAAAGATGTACCAGGATGTTGCTGGGAATGGAGAGTTTGAGTTTTACAGAAAGGCTGCATAGGCTGGGACTTTTTTCACTGGAGTGTAGGAGGTTGAGGATTGACCTTATAGAGATTTATAATATCATTATGGGTATAGATAAGGTGAGTAGCAGGCGTCTTTTCCCTAGGGTGAGAGATTTCAAGACTAGCGGCATATTTTTAAGGTGAGAGGAGAAAGATTTTAAAATAGACACAAGAGGCAACTTTTTTACACAGCGACTGGTTCGTGTGTGGAATGAACTTCCAAAGGAAGTGGTGGATGTGGGTATAGTTATAACATTTAAAAGACATTTGGATAAGTACATGAATAAGAAATGTTTGAAGGGGTATGGGCCAAGTGCAGGCAGGTGGGACTTGTTTAATTTGGGATTATGGTCGGCTTGGACCGAAGGGTCTGTTTCCATGCTATATAACTCTATGACTCTACAACACACCTTTACATCTTTACTCACACCAGAGAGAATTTCATTCTCATTCACATTCAAAGGACTTAATTTAACTGTAGCTTCAATCACCTGTCTTGAAAAGCTGATAGCCTTTTCCCAGAACCCTCATACAACTGAGCCTAAACTTTCTCAGCTTCATATAACCTCTTCAGAGTTTTAACCACATCTGACGTGGAACTTTCAAACTAACCTCCTTACACTTTGGTAACCTATGTTTTTTTGACAGTCCTGAACCTATCTCCCTTTCTCTGGAGAAATTATTTTACCCATTGAGGTTCAGCCAAGACTTCTGTAAACTATTACAATTGAAATCAGAACATTTTTCCAAACTATGGGTGTTTCCCCCAAGTCACCCAAAAAATCTTGTATTGGAAATCATAATGCTATGCTATTTACTTTGTTCACTCGTAAACTCTCCCAATGTAAATAAAACTCATACTCTTCAGGGAATCTCTCTCTAATACTGTGTTTTAAAATGAATAACAATTCTACAGAAATGTTTACAAGTTAGTGGTTAACCTCCCTCAAATACGCACAAAATCTATATGGCAAAGTTCAAATCCAAAACTAAATGATTTTTAATAAGTAAATCAATCGCACACCTAACATTGCCAAGAAACTGACTGCTTTCAGCAGATAGCCTCGGAAATTAGGGATCCTTGACTGCGACTTAGATGACCCTAACCCAAGTTGCAGACAACAGGCCTGCACATGGACATAGTTGGAGGGAGAGGAAAAAGAAAATATACTGAGGACACAGGTAACATGACTGCTGCATCATTGTAGGTAGCAAGCATTTTGTTAGAATATCTTTACTTGTACTGTTACAATATCTGCTGTCATGATTATCACTGTAGGATGTGGTTATATGAGATTCACGTGAGAGATGAGGAGCATCTTTGAAATTGCAATTGACAAGTATAGTCATCTCTCACAAGGAACTGAATTTGACTGCAGATAGCCTCAGATACCAGGAATCCTTGAACCTTAACTTTGAAGTCTGCAGCCGATGCATTGCATGTTAATGTGGAGGATACTGAGGTTAAAGGCAATAGTCAGGGAATTTGCTAGTACCTGGCCTGCTCATATCATTCCACACTAATGCCACACTGAGTGAGAGTATGGAATCAGTTTCATAATTTCACGTGTTTCTGTTGAGAAATGTTGTTCCTATGCATGAACTTTTCCAGGGAACGCAAAGACATTCAAGATTGTGAGCAGCATTCCATTTAGTCTTTTTCTTCCATGCGGACCACTGAGATCTTTGCATCGCAGCAACTTTCAAAATCCGACGTCATGTCAGCA